AAAAAAAAAGATCCCTGAGAAAAACCGTCATGAATCCACTAATACCCTATACAAGTTATAATACCATCTTCAATAAATATTAATAAATTTAGTTACATAGATTTTACCCAAAAAAATCCCTTTTTAAAAGACTAATTCAAAATTTCTAAAGAAAATATCATTATGATTGAATTTAAACTTTACCGTAGTGGTGCCATCTACAGACAAATAATCTATCTTTAAAAGTATTACAAAAAAAAACTTATAATAAATTTCAATTTATTACAGTTAGTAGATAACTTAATGATTTTCAATGTGTAACAAAAAGTGTAATAATATTTGTTTTATATCAAAAGATGATGCATATGAACTAGACAGTAATAACTCATTATTAATGTGAAACATCAACAACAAAAAATTATGTCTATGTATATTTCTTTCTTCTCATTACTTTACAAATTTTTTATTAATTCAAATTGCATTAAATTTCAAGGTATTGAAAGGAGACCTTTATTTCTGCAAAATATTGCTGAAGCAATTAGATTTCAAATTCAGTCATTCATAACCTGTTAGTTCAGCTTGTATTCATAACTTAATATTTTGTTGTTTCCATTTATGAATTCTATAGTATTCACATTGTGGTAAATAGTCCTGTGAATTTCTTAAATTATTTCTGCCCGACTTCCATATAAACATAGGTGCAATTTCATCTAAACAGCTGTTTTTTTTCTTTTCTTTTTTTCCAGAGATTTAAGCATTCTTTGCACTCTTTTTCCCCCCCATAAGCTTTGAATTTTCAATGGTTAGCTCATAAATTATATTTAGCTAATATGGTTTTTAAGCTATAATATTTAGTTGATAGTTTAAATTAAATTAAAAGAGGATGCATTGAATTCATTTCTATGGAAACACTTGTAATTTTTCTGTATGGGCAACTTTAATAAAAAAAAAATTGGCTTAGTAAAATTTAAAATATAGATTCATTTCTCAGTAAAAATTTTCAATAAAATAACTATATGATAAAAAGTGGATCAAATCAAAAACGTTAAAAAAATTTAAAGCATTTTTTTTTAATAAACTTTTGTTGAAGAGTTTTTATATGGGGTGGGGTGGGGGGTTAGAACTTTTGGACAGGCAAAGTAGGCAGTTAGCTAAAAAAATATCAGGAATTTATTATCCAGAAAATGATACACTTATATAGTTTTTAAAAAAAATCAGTTTTTTTTTTTAATATTTAATATCAATTTTAATTTACGGCTTTGTACATTATCCAACAAATTCAACCTAATTTTGCTTAGGGGATGGTCATTATACAACTTAAAATTAGTAATAAAAATACCTTTTGGTCAAATACCCTATTTTTTTTTAAAGGTTTGTACTTAAGTTCTTTTATTTTCATCTTAAAATTATCTTGAAATTTGTTGAAGTAGTTCTTTAAACATTAAGTTTCAACTGCTACTTAACTAAATATAAAGGTTGTCTTGTTTCAAAGCTTTGTAAGTTTTAAAGACCAAAGTTTTAGAGTTTTCTAGAAATTTAATTATTTATTTTAAATTAACAATTTAATCATGAAGTTATTTACTGAAATATTTTTTTTATATTATACATTTATTTGGCTTCATTAATGCCTAACATAATTTATATTTTCTGTACTTATTAAGGGTTGGTGTGGAAGAAGATCATGAAATGCTTCAATTTGGAAGTCTTAGAACAGTAAGTATATTTGTATGTATGTACACATCTAGGGGTGGTTTAATGGTATCTATCCAACCTAAATTTTATTAGTATATAATTACCATTATTTGCGAAATATTTTTATAATTAATGAGTAAAATTGAAATAACAATAGTTATTGATCATATAAAACACTAGATATATCAATGTAGCAAGAAAACTCAAAATATGTGAAATTTTTCGTTGGGGTAATAGAAGTAGCATTTAATAGCTAGCAGTTTCTCGCATATAAATATTCAATTCTAAAGATTTAAATTTTAAAGTGATTAATATTCAAATCTTCTGAAAATTCGTGTCCTATGTCAGTTGTCTGCAATAGTGATAAAAAAAAAAAAAAAACTTGCCTCCTGCAAAAAATATAAAATGATGCATTGTATGCCTTTTTAGTGTATACTGAAAATGAATAATTTTATTATTACAAATTAATTAAACTTTTGCTATAAAAACTTTTCGGCTTTATTTATTTATTTTTTATCTAGGTGGGGTATCGAGTAAGTATCGTGTGTTATTTCTACCAAGTTTTTTTTTTGCACCCGGGAGGAATCAGTTGCTAAAGTAGTTCTTATGTTTTTTTTAGATTAATTTAAAGCTTCTTAAGCATTATTTAATTTTTATTTGTGAAAGTACTTGCTCATTTTTAATTTTTGTATATTAGCGCTATGTGCTGATGTAGGCAAAAATTTTTTGTCATTTCCTGGTTTTGTTAGTCATCCAAATATTTGTTTTTTTAATTAAAATAGGTCATTAGTTTATGCCCTAAAAGGAAATTTTTAATGGAAATTGATTAAATTGAAATATTTTTACATAAAAATTACAAAAAAAAAAGGTTTTTCCAAATTACATAAAATTAAGAAATTCGTGAAAATTAAATTATTTGTGAAATATGTTTTGTTTTTCTACTTATTGTACAATTGTTTGTTAATAAATTAGGCATTTTTTTACTAGTAATAACATTTGTCACTAATTTCCTTTCTTTTTATGTAAAAATTCAAAGATTGCTTAAAATTCATTTGGACAAAATAACAGACTTTCAAATGTCTTGTAACAACATTAAAATGTGCTCCTAATAAGTTTATTACAAAGCCTGAAAGTAAAAAGTAATTAAAAAAACAGTGATCTAAAAAACTTATTTTTGTTTTTTAAAAAAATCACAGTTTAAAAAAATTATCCTAAAAAATCATTTTTACTATGACGTGAAAATTATTATTATTACCTCATCAAATCTGTTTAACTTTACTTTTTATTAAGAAAGTATTTTTTTAAAAGAATTGTTGGAAAAATTATTGACCAAAAGCCTGAAGTTTCTAACGCGAGCACAGTGCTGGTTGCCTTACCCTAGAATTTGTAAAATATGCAGAACAGAAATAGCCATTTGAATATGCCTTATATTCATAAAAAATGTTGTTTTTAAGTAAAGAAAATTTTAATGATCCTGAAGAAGATGCAATGGGGAATTTAATTTAAAAACAAAACTCATTAAAGCTATTTTATTTTAAGCAATCCAATGTTACTTATTTTATCATATTTAAGTTTCTATTCTGGTACACAATTATACATTACATTGAAATACTACATACTAATACTACATACTACATTAAAATAATTTTCAATATTAAATGTATATTTTAAAACTTATACATTTGGAATTTCTTTTTTTTTTTTTTTTTT